ACTTATTGAATGACTTGACTGACTTAACTGATTTACTGACTGACTTACTGAATGACTTGACTGACTACTGAATGACTTGACTGACTTACTGAATGATTTGACTGAGTTAATGAATGATTTGACTGGCTTATTGAATGACTTGACTGACTGAGTGACTTAAAGTTGGACACTTCAGTACAACCATCGACTTCAGTACCAGAACCTCTACCATCCACCTCAGCCCAGTAGGGCCACAGTATAACTCTCCACTCTTTTCACAATCATCCACAAACACCAGCACCCACAATTTAATGTAAGAAATATTATTATTTCTGTTACATGTGTAGTCTTAAGCAGTAAAAACAACATAATACATCACAACAATGAACTGCAATTACATATTCACTTTTATTTTTGTAAGATGTGGAGGCCTAAAAAAAAAAAAAAGTTGTTTGGCTTTTTTTGGGGCTCTCAGGAACATAACCCTATTTTTCCCATAAGTTCTTCAGTTCATCTCACACGGTTTTTTTTACCAAACACGCCATTTTCAGGAACGTAACTACCATGTTAAATGACGGTCTACTGTATTTTATTCATTCTAGAGTATATATCAGGTTTTTATGTTATTTATATTGTTTATCATATTAGATGAACTGTGATAGGTAAATAAGCCGTTTAGATGATGATAGCGAAATTATTCAAGAAGTACATATTTTGTCTGGTCTCCAGACAAACTCATCCACTGACGATACCACTGCACGAATGACATATTTTATTCATTTTAGAGTATATATCAGGTTTCTGTGTTATTTATATTGTTTTTTATGTCATATTAGATGAGTGATAGATAAATAAGCTGTATAAATGATATTAGCTAAATTATTCAAAAAATATTTTGTCCGGTCTCCAGACAAACTCTCGTCCGCTGACGTTACTACTACATGAATGACATATTTTTTCATTCTAGAGTATATATCAGGTTTCTGTGTTATTTATATTGTTTTTTATGTCATATTAGATGAGCTATGATAGATAAATAAGCCATAGAGTTGATATTAGGGAAATTATTGATGTATAGAATTCCACTGGAACGGATTAATTGCGTTTCAATTAATTTAAATGAGGAAAATTGACTCTGCAAACGAGCAAATCCAGTTGCGAGCAAAGTCACGGACCGGATTAAACTCGCAGGTAGAGGTTCCACTGTAGAATCCAATAGAATATTCATTTCTTTTGAGCATTACATAAGCTGTCAGGTATTTTCATGATTGTATCATTAGTGCCCTTTTTGGGTCTGAAACCAAATTTACAAGGAATAAGGATGTTATATCTAGTTGAGTACAGTTGCTTGGGTATAACTTTTTTTTAAATTTTAATGGTATGGATTGATTGATTATATATTTTTCTCTAGTTGTTAATGCTGATTTGATGGTGAGCTTTGTGGATGGTTATTATCCTGTTTTTTTTTTTTTTTTTGAGATTATCAGGAAAAGTGTTCTTTGCATAAATAAAATAAAATAAAATGTTTGTTTTAATTGGTTATATATAGAACTTACAGTAGTTAGAATTACATACCATTTAGTTACAGTTTAGAAAAAGTTGATACTGGACTGACTGTTAAAAATTTGATATGGATGTACAGTAGAAAGTCACTAATTATGCAACAGATTTTGGCAAACCAGTTCTAAAATTTTTATAGTACTTAATGCTACTGCTAGCATACAGTTTCATGCAACATTGTATATCAGTGTAACACAAATAGTTCATTCCAAGGGTAAGCATGATGGGACAGGTTACAAGTGATCAGTTAGACAGTTACAAGTACAGTGGACCCCCGCTTAACGATCACCTCCAAATGCGACCAATTATGTAAGTGTATTTATGTAAGTGCGTTTGTACGTGTATGTTTGGGGGTCTGAAATGGACTAATCTACTTCACAATATTCCTTATGGGAAAAAATTCGGTCAGTACTGGCACCTGAACATACTTTCTTTCTTTCTTTCAACACACCGGCCGTATCCCACCGAGGTGGGGTGGCCCAAAAGGAAAAACAAAAGTTTCTCCTTTTACAATTAGTAATATATACAGGAGAAGAGGTTACTAGCCCCTTGCTCCCGGCATTTTAGTCGCCTCTTACAACACGCATGGCTTACGGAGGAAGAATTCTGTTCCACTTCCCCATGGAGAACCTGAACATACTACTGGAATGAAAAAAGTTCGTTAACCGGGGGTCCACTGTATTTTACATGAATTTACATCTGATTCATGATGTGCATTTTATGGAGTGGTTGAATTATTTTGATAACTATAAGGTATGAGTATTTGCAGTCAATTATATTCTATGTATAATATTTATGTAAGAGTTAATAAAAGCTTTTTAACAATATAGTTAAAGAAGTTGGCAATTTCAGGCACTGAGTTCCATGTTTTTGGAACTTTTCTTTGCATGGAGTTTCTGAATATGGTGAGTCATACACCCAGTACATATATCAATGAGATACTTGTTTTTTGTATTATTTCCATGTGTTCTGTTGCAGCTCTCCAGGAAGACTTCAAGCTCTGAGATAATGTTTGAGTTGAGAGTCCTCTAGACATATCATTCGCAGAAGTGTGAATAATTTGTATGTTAAGCAAATACAAACTTTTGAATAGGGGTGTGTGTTGCTTGGGACCTGAATGAATAATTATTCTAAGTGCTGCTTTTTGCTGGGTAACAACAGGTTTCATTTGTTTAGCTGTTGTTGATCCTTATGCTCTAGTACCATAGGTGAGGTAAGAGTAGATTAGAGAGTAGTACAGAATGAGCAGGGATGTTTGGTACATAATAGCAGATTTTTGAGAGAATGCCCACTGTTTCGAAGATTTTTAAGAAAATGATTTGTCAAAGTTATGCAGTTAGTGGAGATAACACATGAGCAGTTTTCTTGTATATATTGCTGGGTGTGTCTTCTTCTCTACCATCAGACTTTTTTTAGTGATTGACTCCTTTAGCTTCCCTTTACCTCAAACAAGGTCCATTTTTAAATGTGCTTTGAGCTTTTGCAGAGCCTGATTAATGCAAAGGAAATTTTTAAGATTGCTGCAAGCCAATAGAGCAGGTCTTTTTATCTCGCCTAATAAATAAGATAGCCTTAACTCCCTCTCAAGTGAAGTGAGGAGTTGACATTGTGAATGATTGGGAAAGGGTGTTTCCCAATCATTCACAATTCTTTGTAAATACTAATAATGACCATTTTAGAATCACTTTCAAAAATTCATTAAAAGCCATCAAAAATACAACAAAGGTCACAAGAGTAAAATGTCTTAGAATGGGCCATTTTGTAGCATACTAGAAGCACATTCAAATCCCTTCATTATTTTGATGACTGAACACTAAAGAGTTTGGGTAATTGTCATTCAGATATCTACTGATGTTTGTATGACTTCTGGCATATTGTTTGCAAGATTACAATTGCTTGTACCATTACGAAATATTTATTTATTTATTATTTTTTTTTTTTTTGCGTTATCAGTAAGCAAGGGTTCAGTAGCTCTGAAGAGGATGATTTGGTTGTTTTTATTTTTTCCTCTAGAATTTTGGGGGGTTTTCTGAATTTTTTAATATTGCCTATGAAGTCATTAAATCTATTAGAATAATATTTTTGCTTTGATTCTCTTCATTATTCTTGTGAGGGTTGCAGTGTTCTGGTATACTGTACTATATAGTCCTTGTGGCTTAGCACTTCTTTATGATTATAATAATAATAATCTGATATACTGGTTCCTGGCACAGAAGGACTAATCTATACTTATTTTTGTCATAATCATCTTTCTTATCAGTTAATTTGGACAGGACTTTTGTGAGCCATTTGTGTAATTATCTGTTTAGATTTTTGTGGATGGTGTATATTGTAGTGATATTTTGTAATGATGAGGAAGCTTTCTACTCCAGAATTTACATTACAGCCGTGTCTCACCTTCCTTTCCCAATTTATGTTGTTAATTAATCACATTGATAAAGTTGCTTATTGAAGCATCATTATTGATAAAGTTGCTTATTGAAGCATCATTATGGAGCCTTAATGAGTTTTGTTCATTTCAAGTGTGTTATTTGAAATGTTAGCAGTAAGGAAAGTAGGATAATAATCACTTGTGTGAAATGTGAATATACACATATTTAGAGGTGCTGTTTTATTCAGATATGATCTAGAACTGAAGCTGATGTCTGGCTCCAGGGTATAAGAGGCAAGAATACATTCTGCTGAAGAGGTGTGAGACTTTGGGCTTCTTTACATGACAAAAATTAATGCTAAGATCTCCAGAAATTATTAAGTCTTTTTTATTGAGTTTTTGTTAATTATTGTTCTACTCAGGTTGTCACTGAAGATAAGCAAATTGGTGTGAGGGATTCTATAAATGGCTCCAATTGTTATTAGACTATGTATTAGTATTATCAGTGAAATATTGAGCAAATATATAGTCACTGTATTTATCACTGGTGTTCACAGTATTTACACTTCAAGTCACTGGCATAGACAGTGGCAGCACCTCCAACTCTCTTGTTTCTTCTTCAGTTTTGGGTGGTTCAGTACCAGACATGTTGAATAGACTAGTGAGGTAAAGTTTTAACAAGGTCTCTTTTAATACACTGTATGGGAATATGGCATTCAAAGATTTATACACTGCAATGTCATCATTGTGTTTGCTAAAGAACCATGAGTTATAATTAAAGATACTGTGGCAATTGCTTGTACTGAAGATGCTGTTTGCAGTGTTATTATAATTTGTGCAAAGTCATTGTTATATATACATGTATGTTTAAGTAGTTGAGTGGAGAGTCATTATTTGTGTGCATGAACAGAAGACAGAAGGGGTGAGCAGAATTAATGTTGGGATATTACATGTGTGTAATAAAACCTTAACATATTTAGTATTTTAACAGTTAAGAAAATATAGCAAAAAGCACTTGAATTCCAAGTGGTGACTTTCATATTCACTATTTTACTGAATGGCATATGTAAGATTGCGTTATGGTATGCAGAGTTGTGTGGAACGCCGGGCTACCTAGCGCCAGAGTTGCTACGATGCAATATGATGGAAGGTGCTCCTGGATATGCTCACCAAGTTGACTTGTGAGTATAGGAAACCCAAGACAGCAACAAACACTCCTTTTGCCAATTATGGAAAAAATTCTTTTCTTTTCCTAGAGAAGTGTCTCTCTCTTTATAAAACATAAGACATAAGTATTAAAATTAATATGCAGTGTGTGTATGTATATGTATGAATGTATGTATGTGTATATATCTTCTTTCAATGAAACGGCCATATCCTACCAAGGAAGAGTAACTCAAAGAGGGAAACGAAAAGTTTTTCTTTTTAAATTTAGTAATGTATACAGGATAAGGGGTTACTAGCTCCTTGCTCCCAGCATTTTATCTCCTATGGAGATAAGAGGAAATAAAGAAGAACAAGCACTATTGAGGAAATAAAAGAAAACCCAGGTGGGAGTGTGTATATATATGCATGTGTAGTGTGACCAAGTGTAAGTAGAAATAGCAAGATAAATCTTATTCCATGTGTTTATGAGACAGAAAAAAGACACCAGCAATCCTGCCATCACGTAAAACAATTACATGTTTCTGCTTCACACTCACTTGGCAGGACAGTAGTACCTCCCTGGGTGGTTGATATCTGCTACCTACTACCTAGGATATGTGTGCGTGTGCGTGTGCATGTACTCACCTAGTTGAGGTTGCAAGGGTCGAGTCCGAGCTCCTGGCCCCGCCTCTTCACTGGTCGCTACTAGGTCTCACTCCCTGAACCGTGAGCTTTATCATACCTCTGTGCGTGTGTGTGTGTGTGTGTGTGTGTGTGTGTGTGTGTGTGTCTGTGTGTGTGTGTGCTTACCTAGTTGTGGTTGCAGGGGTCAATTCATAGCTCCTGGCCCCGCTTCTTCACTGGCCGCTACTGGGTCACTCTCCCTGCACCGTGAGCTATATCATACCTCTGCTTAAAGCTATGAATGGATCCTGCCTCCACTACATCACTTCCCAAACAATCCACTTCCTGACTACTCTGTAACTGAAGAAATACGTCCTAACATCCCTGTGATTCATCTGTCTTCAACTTCCAACTGTGTCCCCTTGTTGCTGTGTTCCATCTCTGGAACATTCTGTCTCTGTCCACCTTGTCAATTCCTCTCAGTATTTTATATGTCATTATCACGTTCCCCCTATCTCTTCTGTCCTCCAGTGTCATCAAGTCGATTTCCCTTAAACTCTTCTCATAGGACATACCCCTTAGCTCTGGGACTAGTCTTGTTGCAAACCTTTGCACTTTCTCTAGTTTCTTTATGTGCTTGGCTAGATGTTGGTTCCAAGCTGGTGCCGCATACTCCAGTATGGGCCTAACGTACACAGTGTACAGGGTCCTGAACAATTCCCTGTTAAGATGGCGGAATGCTGTTCCTAGGTTTGCTAGGCACCCATATGATGCAGCAGTTATTTGGTTGATGTGCATCTCACAAGATGTGCCTGGTATTATACTCACCCCAAGATCTTTTTCCTTAGGTGAAGTTTGTAGTCTCTGGCCTCCTAGACTATACTCTGTCTGCAGTCATCTTTGCCGTTCCCCAATCTTCATGACTTTGCATTTGGTGGGGTTGAACTCCAGGAGCCAACTGCTGGACCAGGCCTGCAGCCTATCCAGATCCCTTTGTAGTTCTGCCTGGTCCTCGTCCAATTGAATTCTTCTCATCAATTTCACATCATCTGCAAACAAGGACACTTCGGATTCTAATCCTTCTATCATGTCATTCACAAATACGTACCAGAAACAGCACCGGTCCTAGGACGGCCAGTTGCTTGCAAACATAGACTGCAAGCAACTGGCCGTTTAATCTCATCTCCAACCCCATGGACTTGCCCAATGCCACAATACCTTCCACAGCAGGCAGAGAGTTGGCAGGGTCAGGGTCAGCCTTAAACCCTTTAAAATCCCTCTGGATGACACATTGTGGCGTCTGAAACACTATCACTCGCTATCTGTTTATTGTTGATCCACACCACCAACAACTTCTCAACCTCTTCGACTGTTTGTGATCTATTTTTGGATAACATGACAACACCTTTCACAACATCAGCTTCCTTAAGTTCTTTTCTCTTCGGTAGGATAGACGTGATAGTTGATTTGTTTTTACTGTACATCCTGGCAAGCTCCCCCACACGAACGCCACTCTCGTATTTTTCTACTACGTATCTCCTTCTTCACTGCTATGGTGTTACTCACTTTCTTTACCACAGGGCCCATGGTAGCTTATTTCACAGTCACAATTAATGCCTGGCTGGATGGCTGGCTGGCTAGCTGGACAGCTGGCTGGCTGCCTGGTTGGCTGGCTGGATAGCTGGCTGGCTGCCTGGCTGGCTGGATGGCTGCCTGGCTGGCTGGATGGCTGCCTGGCTGGCTGGATGGCTGCCTGGCTGGCTGGATGGCTGCCTGGCTGGCTGGATGGCTGCCTGGCTGGCTGGATGGCTGCCTGGCTGGCAGGATGATAGCACAGGGTAATGTTCACTCAAGGATAGACAATGTTAGACTGGCTGACAACACCTGCGCGGACAGGTTTGGTACGCCGGCTGAAACCTGGGGCAACAGCCGAAACACAGGACAAAATTTGGCCAAAAAAAGCGGGTGAAACCCAAAGCGGCCGATTCCCAGGGCGGCCAAAACCCGAGGTTTCACTGTACATTATTTCTTATGGGAAATATTGCTTCGCCTTTCAACTGTTTCGAGTTTAGGCCTAGCTCCTGGAACGGATTATGGTCGAAACTCGGGGTTCTCTTGAACTTTGTATGTATTTTTTACATATATATGATAGCTTAAACATGTTATGACGCTTTTATGTGCATTTGAAAGTGAAAAAAGGCTGTGTTTCACTTTACAGCAACTTTCGCTTTACAGCAGTAACCCAGAACCTAACCTTCTGTACAGGCAAGAACCCTCCTGTATATGTAAATACACCTTCCATCCGACTTACGACCTGCTCGACATACGTCCACTCGACTTACGACCGTGCATCTGGCAGCTGGGCTGGGCCGGCTGATGCACACCACTGTACAATATTTGACGATACTCGCAAGGGCAATGTGTCATGCAGGCAGCATCAGTTTGAGTAACCCTGTCCTATCAGCAGCATCATACTGTATTAACTGTACTAACTGGACAGTAAATTTCACCATGGCCCCTAAGATGAAGACTGAATCTTACACTGGAGATTGTGGCAAGAAAGGCTCTTACTCTCAAACTCTCTATTTGTTTTCACTGTTGCACATAAACCTGTCTGTATCTGTCTGCCTGTATATCTGTCTGTATCTCTGTGTGTCTGTTTATCTGTCTGTCTACTAGTGTGTGTGTCTTTCTGTCTACCTGTGTGTCTTTCTGTCTACCTGTGTGTCTTTGTCTACCTGTGTCTGTCTTTATGTCTACCTGTGTCTGTCTTTATGTCTGTCTACCTGTGTGTCTGTCTTTCTGTCTGTCTACCTGTGTGTCTTTCTGTCTACCTGTGTGTGTGTCTTTCTGTCTACCTGTGTGTCTGTCTTTCTGTCTACCTGTGTGTCTGTCTTTGTCTGCTTGTCTGTCTCAGAGCCACTCATTAAGAGTGTACTTGGTCTTGAAGATGCCATATTAATAATGATAATAACAATAATATTCACTGAGGCGCATTAAATGTGTATAAAACGTTAATACAGTGGACCCCCGGTTAACGATATTTTTTCACTCCGTAAGTATGTTCAGGTGCCAGTACTGACCGAATTTATTCCCATAAGGAATATTGTGAAGTAGATTAGTCCATTTCAGACCCCCAAACATACACGTACAAACGCACTTACATAAATACACTTACATAATTGGTCGCATTCGGAGGTAATCGTTATGCGGGGGTCCACTGTATAGACATTTTGCTTAATCCATCTATGATTTTTTTTTTTCAAAATTATATAATAAACATGCTACATAACATATAAATTAACAAATATGAGATGTTTTTCTGGTCGGCTTGACAGTGAACAGGAACCATTCGTGTCGGGGCTGGTAACAACAACAACAACAACGTTTGTTTACATAACTCGTGAACATTCTACATTCTTATTCTCTCTCTCATTTATTCATTTAATCTTGTTTACTCACCTCTCACTCTACATTAAAACTACAGATATTTTAAGGTAAGTAATGAGTGGACACAATTATTATATTACAGCTTAATAATAATATTAATATTAGTACATATGTATTATTGTAATAATGATGATTATTAATATTATTATTAATTTAGGGCACTGGAGCACAGATCCACTGTATAGCACTTTGTCTGGATTTTTTGGGTTATCCTAGGTAATTTATAATATGTATGATAACTTGACTTACGTGTACCAGTGAGAGAGAGAGAGAGAGAGAGAGAGAGAGAGAGAGACAGACAGACAGAGAGAGATACAAAGAGACAGCCACATTCGGTCAGCCAGTCAGCCAACTACCCACTCACCCACCCAGCCACCCATCCAGCCACCCACCCACCCATCCAGCCACCCACCCACCCATCCAGCCACCCACCCACCCATCCAGCCACCCACCCACCCATCCAGCCACCCACCCATCATCCAGCCACCCACCCACCCACCCATCCAGCCACCCATCCAGCCACCCATCCAGCCACCCACCCATCCAGCCACCCACCCATCCAGCCACCCACCCATCCAGCCACCCACCCATCTAGCCAGCCAGCCACCCACCTGGCTAACCACAGACCCGGCCACCCAGCCAGCCAGCCGGATACGTATTACACATGTTCCAGAGTTGTTTCTCTTTACTTAGGGAATAGGTTATACAACATTCTGGCAGGATGACACTACCCGTGGTATTCTCCCATTCCATTGTGTCGACAATACATAAAGATAATAGTAACATAAGATACTGTATGCGATGTAAAATTTACATTACATATCACTACCATGTATACATTATATACAGTACATAAATAATTAAAATACAACAATAGAAGTAAATTATGGTAAAAAGAATGAAATAATGATTGTACATTACATTACAGTATTACGTAGGTAGTTTATAGGAAAGTTTTGAC